CTGGACCAACATATTCATCGAATACAGTTGGGTTTCTAAAGGCCCACTTTTATCTTCATTCAGAAGCGATTCAACCAGCAGCACTCCACCACCTGATTGAATGAAGAGCAATGAAGAACATGCTGAGCTCTGAGAAGCTGAGCTATTTTGGAGCTGTTACTAGGACAGATCCTAACCTTTAGTTTCAGGAAAGAGCAGCCTCTATGTTGAGTCATATTTCAGCATCACAGAAGACAATGGAAGAACAAAAGCATTGAATCATGTCTCTGCTTGGCTATGTAGGTACTGATGTCCCAGGGCTGAAGGGGATGCTATTGTTGGGATAGATATTTCCCCCCAACTGCAATCCACAGGAGTTTACTGATTTTGCTGAGAATCTGGCTCTGTACGCAGTGCTTTTGAAGCTCTGAGGATTCAATGTAATGCTTAATGGGACTTTTACTATGACGTATACACCTACCAAAACAATACCCAAAATCCTCAGTCCTTACACCCAAATGCCTTGAAAGAGGAGTTCCTGTAGAGAAGACGACAAAAACTGGAAGCCAGAAAAAGAGATCTTAGATCAGGCCCTATTTGGCTCTGTTTCACATGGATGGCTTAGGAAAGCAAAAGACCAAACCAAGAAGCCCTTGCGCTGAAACTCTGCCACCCCAATCGAGAACTAAGACTGGTGTGTTTCCCATTACTGATAGGCAAGAGTCTCTCTACTCTCTACAAGCTTACACCTACCAGGTTTGCAAGCTTTGTAGACTTTTGCCAGCAGCTGTTTGCATTTGTCATCATCCCAATCATGCAGTATCTTGGATAAAATATACAGTTCAGCTTCAGGAATTGAATCATTAAAAAAATCTCCTGTAAAGCAACAACACATAAGCAAATATTTTCAGTTCTGGGCTTGCCATGTCTATCACACATATCAGACAGCAATGGAATTACCAGCTGGAGAGCAATGATGCACAGCATAGGGAACTTTGCTCTTGTTCAATCTCAAGATATGAAACATTTAAAAGCAGCAGCTCATCCTGAAACAGCCTTTGAGGCAAAGGAAAGCATTTGAGTTTAGGTTTTCTCCAGTGATATAAATTCAGATTCATAAAGCACTAAGGAACATGTTTTCATGGTTTCTGTCATGAAAAAAAAGGAAAGAATACTCCCTTATCCAAGAAAATTTTTGAAGACCTTCAGTAATCAGAGAATTACCTAATAAATACATAAGTAAGAATACACACCTCTCACTTCCTAGCACTAGCTTCATCATCATGCTTTTTGTTTAGCACCTGGTATACTGCATTCAGATTTTTCTCTCAGCATTTTACTTTGTCATTTCTTCTCCCACTTTGTTGCATCTTTGTTTTTATACATTCCTTTCTTTCCTCAAGGCTTCTTTTCTCTCTCTGAGCATCAAGTAACAATAAGCCATTCCAACACTTTAAAAGTTTTTGTAAACATTAAAAATAAGATCCCCCTACACTAATTTTTGTCACAGATGGTAAAAAGACGATGAAGGATCAATGGAATGGGCAGAAGGAACATGAGTTAGCTCATTCACTTTTATGATCTGAAATGTATTAGGGCTTGAAAGTCAATCGTGACCAGACAAAGAAAACCTTCTTCCTTGGAGCAGGCGTGGCATCCCTCGCATCTGTCAAAAGGTTTTCACAGGAGGAAAGGGGAGTGCCAGGAAAATTTATAACAAGGCATGGCAGATTTCAAAATCGCAGGATGCTTTTTTTTTTTTTGTTAATGTACCCTTGTACTGAAAAAAAATCAAATAGTTATGTTCAGGAATAAAGAGCTTCTGTGTTGCTGAACAACTGAGTTGTGTCTCTGACAGTTGCAGATGCTTACCTGGGACAGCTGCAGACCTGGGTTCGGGGGGCTGCAGCCTGGGACACAGAGCAACAGCTGCGGAAACGCTACCCCACCTCCACACCCACCTTCATGGAATGCGATCTGACGCTCCTCAGGGGAAACAAATTGCTCTTTGGCCACTTGCACAACTTTTGGTAGGTCATAAATTGTGACTGTGGAATTGGGATACAAAGAAACACACTCCCGGGCCAAAGCTCCTCCACCTCCTTTGGGGAAAGCAAAAGAAGGTTAGTGCTGACACAAAACCAACCTGTTCAGCAACACCCCCATGAAACCATGCAAGCAATGATGGATTCAGCCTAAGGGAACCTGGCAATACACATTTGCTTCTCATGTGCTGCTGAAAGGGAAGAAGGGGGGATGATAGAGGCCACTGTCTCCATTTGTTCTGGGTCAGCCCCACCCCTTAAAGCTCTCCCACACCCTCCCTGCCAGACCCAGCTGTGAGTGCTGGAAAGTGAAAAATGAAAAACAACCACTAAAGCAGGTGCTGAGGAAGAAGTGATGGAGGTGGATCTTGACCCATCCTGGCAGCACTGAGCACTGCTTGGACAGCAGGGTGCTGCAGGATAACAGGCTCTAGACAGTATCTCAATGACAGTGACTGAAGAGGAGGAGGGAAAGAGTCTGGCACTGGAAAAATGTATCAAGCAAGGCATGAAAAATTGCCAAAGCGGAAACATACACAAGGGGATGGCTGACTGCTCACTCTGTAGAGAAAAGCATTTAGCTTCCTTGCTCTCATCACTCTCACTTTTTTTTTTTTTCAACCCAACCAAATCAGGAAAATGTTTCTTTTATTGCTGAAATGTGTCCTGCTTTCCATTGTTTTGCCCATCATATAACATAGAAGTTATTTTTCTTTTCAAAGCTTGTAAAAGACAGTGAGGAGGCTAGTTAAAGAAGATCTACAGACACTCACCTCCCAGGTCATAAATCTGCGTGAAAGAAGAAAGGTCAAATGCAGCAAGAACATCTCTGCCACATATACTCCATATTGAGTTCTGGCCAGCCATGAATTTTGACATTTCTTCTTCTGATCTAGTAATACAAAGAGACATAGCACATAGAGAAGGTTACTTACCACATCCTTGGTGATTCCTATCATATAACTTATTACAAGTTTTAGCATAAATACTAATCTCTGCTTTTACTGACACAGAATATGTTATCTTTGCATATAAAGCTTCCTTGAATATTACTGTATCAGGAGAGTACAGCTATGAATTCATGCATTACAATAGGGAATTAGACTAGTGAAATCCAACATTTAACATGTATTTTGCTTCTAATTCTCAGGCTTCCAAGGGATTTTTTTTTTTCTTCAACTACCATTGCCTCTGTCAGAGATCTGGGATATGTTTTTCAGATTAGGAAATTATATACTTCTTTTCAAAATATCAGAGTGTCTCAGTAATTGATATTGTTGAGAAAGGAAAACACTGCATGACAGTTCTGATGAGAGGGATTCTCAAATCAATATATTTAATTGTCCTGAGCCATAATTAAAAACATTATTTTTACCTACAATAAGAAAAACAAAATTTCTGTAAATATACTAATAGTTACCTGTACATTGCTCCAAAAGGATCTTTAGATGAAATGCCAAAAGTTCTTTCATATTGGTTTCTTCCTTCTCTGAAATAGCAGTCAAAAACGCGTATGAGTGTGGATTTTTTTCTTTTACCCCAAACATACCTCAGGGCTGCAGTTTCATCAAGAGCATCACTGTGGAAGGTACTCAACTTTGTACAGAATATACGTCAGTCTGTTTGCACTGTCTCTAGAGGCACCCTCACTTGCCCCTCCAAAACATGCTGATATATTTCTCAACCTTTCACTAGAACAACTGGTTCTTTTCAAGGTCACACTGGGATGACACTTTGAACAACCTGATCTAGTAAGTGGTATCCCTGTCCATGGTAGGAAAGCTGGAATGAGATGTTCTTTAGAGTCTTTTCCAACACAAAACATTCTAGGAATCTGTGATTTCTGGGAACACAACTCAGGTAAAGGTACAAGACTGGTGCAATCATCATCATACACCCCATTTTTGGTCATCAGTTGCATGGACTGGAACAAGTAAGACTTTAGATCTATATTAAACCAATCCTATTAACCTTTGCAACAAAAGCATACCTAGCCATCATTACTCATAATTTACTTTGTTGATGCCTCCTCAAGTAAGAACCACTGTAATGATAAAGTGTTTTCCTGAGGGTGAAACAGACAGAAATCTGATTTCTGGATTATCTCTATAATCAGAGGGAAAAAGAAAACAAGAACACACACACACACAAAAGGGGTGTGTGTGGGGGGGGTTGGTTGTGGTGAAGAACACATATCAGCCATGTCAACAGCTGAAATTATCTGCTGGTTTTAATTTCTGAGAACCAGCCAGCGTCTTCATTGAGCCCTTTCCCAGAAACACACCACTCAGAGCAGCCATGCAGACACTGCAAAGCAGGCTGCACCGTAGGGCATGCAACACTCCCCCTTACCTCACAGCTTCAGTCAGGTGCTGCCAGCACGAGTAGACTGTATTGGAATAATACATCATCATATGATACTGAGACTTTGGGCTTGATTTTGTAAGGTAGATGTTGGAAATTTCTGTGTTTCTGTAGAGAGCTAAAGGGTGAAACAAGTATATTTACTAGCATATATGATATACAGCCTTGCTAAGTCTATTGTACAGCATGGTATTTTGTTGGAAGTTCACTGCAAGAAATATATTCTTGGTGGAGAAAAATCCTCCACCAAGCCCTCTTCCTATCTGCTGATTGTAACCCCTACGCTCATTGGCCCTGTTAATTAAAATTTATAGCTTTTCCCTGTCCTTCTCACCCATATTAGGATGTGTTTAGCTTAATTTCTCCATATATAGACACTTCCTTGTATGAAACTCCCTAAAATCCTCCCAAATTCCACACATTCCAAGCTCTACCCCATAAAAGCTAGCTGACCCCCTGAAATAAATGCGCTCTCTCGCTCTCTTGTCCATTCTGTCTCGCTGTATGTGATTTCTAGCAGAATGGAACATGATCTTAATATTTTTGGAGGTGTCACAGCTCTTGCCTCTAATAGTATTTATTGCAAGAGGATGCCTAGACACAAAGAAAATGCCAAGGACACAACAACGTTGCTTCTACAATCAAATCCTTCCACTGCAATGAGCAGTGGGTGAGGGCTGCTGAAATCTGTGTCGCCCCATTCAATCTGAGTATCTCCTTACACTCCACTCCAGAACCAAACATTTCTTTCAAGAAGTGCAAAAACAATGCCTTACGAGTGCCATTATCTACCTATAGGCTTTTGTGCTCAGAGGAAGATTTCAGTGTGTTCCATCTAAATAAGAACTCTTTGCAGAGAAGTCTTTTTCTGATAATCAAAGTCAGCAACTGGGAGACAAGTCCCCAAAACAGCATGCCAGCTACACCTACCTTCTCTCAGTTCACTAGGGCAGGACCTTCTGCAGACAGAAGAACGCCTAAAGGACTCTCAGAAATCTCCCGTATCCTCCAATGCATCTGCAATGGTATTGCTCATCCACAGGTTCAGCATACCAAAGGAATATAAAAGATAAATCCTGCTCTCCCTAAACTCACTGGGCAACAGCTATAAGCCCTAACAAAGAGCACAGCAACACAAGCTAGAACAGGGGACACAATTTATAACACTGGGTAGTCCTGACCAGCAGTCCGGTGGCCAGAAATCCCTTCTGTTCAAGTGAAATCAATGATTCTGATGCAAGAACAAACTTATGTTACCTCTCAGTTTTGATGAAAATAGTTCACGTGATGGTTAAAAGCCAAAGAAAACCAAAACCTGTTTTTAAATCATGCTGCTGCCTATCCACCCTGGCATTTTGTTTTAAGGTTTAAAATCATGCCCATACCTCAGAGATTTCTTGAGACTAGCTCTGAATAGATCCTGAATATGCCTCCAAGGTCACATGAGGCTCTTGCACAAAGAAGTTTAGGGATATAGAGCCCTTCACCAGGATTTTACTTTACACCTGTGATCATGCTGACATTTGCCACTTCTCTTTCAGCTGAAGTGTGAATCTCAAATGATTCCCTCCTTCTTCCAGCTACATTAACTGATCTTTGCCCACACATCTTACCTCACTTTCAAAACCATCAGACATTTAAGTCTTTTAGTTTATTCCCCTTCCTCTTCCTCTGCCTTTATTACCTCCTTTTTGTGTCACCTCTACTGCCAAGAGCTTCAGTCCCACACAGGCCTCCAGCAGTCTTTCCATCCCGGTTGTGCTGGTATCCAAGCATGCAGCAATGGAATCTGAAGACAGAGGTTCTCCTGATTCCAGCAGAAGATCAAACACCCCCAACTCACAGGCAGTGAACATAACCTGGGGGTAAGGAAAGGTGGGATTGAGGAATCAGGTGAAATCAGTAAAGCCTACTGAGTTTCTCAAGCTGCATTATTCAAGAAAAGATACACAAAATAATTTTTTTTCCATGTAAAATTTCATTTCATACAAACAAGTCCAGTTATTAAAATGTAGTTGATCTGAGCACTGATATAACATACAGGGCATGAAATGCACTTTTTGTTCATGTTTTTCTTTTCCTTTTTGGCTGAAGCCAGACAATGCTTTTGGCTCACTGAAGTCCACATTTAGAGTTGAGGTTTTGGGTGTAAATATTCCTGCCTCTTCCCTAGTTTTGGAGCACTTTTTTACAGTATCTCTTGCTTTTTGCCTGGAAAGAACAAGGGCAAGACTGGATGGTGGTGACTGTTCTCTGTTTATGTTTTTGTTCTTTAACTAAGGATCTAATGCTAAGCATGCTCCACTGAACCCTGGAGACCTTCCTATGGCTTGCAGTAGGAGGAATATCCCGCTCTATGAACCCTGTTTTCTGGGACTGATGTGAAGGACTCTGGTGGTCTCCCAGAAGGAGGGAATCTCCTCTCAGCCAGAAGAACTGCTTCATTCAGGCCAGCAGAATTGCCCTCTGTTTCCATAGAGAAGGTGTGAAACTTCTCCAGAAACAACCTGCAACTTCCAGACAGACATACATACGAAATAACCTGCAACTTCCAGACAGACATACATAAGAAAAGCATCCTTCTTTAGCTGTACACAGTGAACTTTACAAATATTACTCTGGTCACACAAACACTCCTAAAACAGCAACAAAGGCATTAACTAAGTTGACTGCCTGTATACACAATGATTTGATCTGCAAGGATTCCTATGCAGCAAAGCTCATTTTACCCTGAGTAAAGCGTGGCTTATTCAAAGATGACATTGTTTCTCAAAAACATAGTACTATGTTAATTTGGAAAGCATTGGGTGCTCCTCTTTCTCATAAAGTAAAGTAATTTTTCATTATCTGTTTTTCCTCTCTTTACTGTCAGCTCTATCTTTAATGAGCGTTAAGATGCAACGGTATTTGTACAACCCAAAGAGCGTTCCTTCTCTTACTGTGTTTGCTACAGGTGCAGCAAGGGACAATAAGAAAAGTAACTAAATAGTAAATTTAGGAAAAAAATGTCCATTTCACTATATATTATAGTTTTATGCCCACGCGCTTACACACAGAGAAAGGTAAATAACGTAAACAATACTGAGAATGGAAGTATTAGTTCTACCTTTGTGCCTTAATAAAATGCTGGTTGGAAAAACAATCATTATGCCAGACTCTTTCTTTCACTGCTTCCAAAGATTTCCATTCAGGATCTAAAGTGAAATCTTTGCATGTTTCTCTCTGCATTTTAAGACTGAGTTATATTTCTTACCTTTGAGACTAAAAATCCACTGCTGTATTGCATAATGATTTGAGGATAGTCAAGGTCTTCTGTGCAACCCATCTTCTTTCTGGATTGAGACACAGATTCCCTGGCCCTCTTAATTTAAATAAGCTTCTTTTCACCAGGCACAAAGCATGCCAGCTGATCCACTTAATCCTATTGCTTGTGAGAAACACACTGGTTACAAAATGTGTTAGCTGAGTTATTCGGATTTGATGGGTTTTTCTACCCAGTTCAGCTGTTTCTTTGGATCTTCCATCATCAAGTATAAGTCTAAAGAAGCAGTGTGGATTAAAGCTTGTATTGTCAGTTCATCAGTCAGTTAAGATGCTGGTACTTCAGAAGCACTTGAAAGCTTGTAATAAGCAAAGCAGGAATCGGTACAGAAGAGTATCAAGAACCTGAACTCAGCACGATGAACCAGAGTCCATAAACCAAAGCGAAGTCTTACTTGGGTCTTGAAACTTGCTGTGAAGGGCACAGGTCTAGGGGACCCCGGGCCTGGCAGTAGGGGAGATTCCATCCCTAAATGCAGAAGCAGGCAGTTCAAAGAGAAGCTGGAAGAGCCTGCGTGCTGCTTTGTTTGCTGTGACTAGTTTTCTCTGACAGTGATCACTCAGGTGAAGCCTATGGGGAATTAAATCTACTCTTGTTACTTTTCTGTATTTTCCAGGTCCCTCCCCCCTGTTTCAGCTTAGAAATCAATACCTGTTTGATAGCAACAGAACAGCAGGAGTGTCCTACTTGTGCTTTGCCACGTTTTGGCAGAGCAGGGTGCTGAGGGATGACAAAATGTTCTGCATTTTCCAGCTGGCTGCTACTGTCTTCCTCACCTTCTCTGGAAAACTAACCATGGGCATGCAGAAAGCCCTTGGGAAGAAACTGCCAAGTGCAAGAGGTGGCATAGACTTCAACTTCATGCAGGACATATCTCATAGGTATTTCATAAGAAAATGAAACCTCTGGATTACTTTCCTGAAATCTTTCTGCCCTGTTGTCCATCTCTCCAGTTTGTAAATGCCTAACACCTTGCCCATCTTGCCTTTTTGGGCAGATGTTGCAACTCTCAGATCAGAAAGGATCCTTTCCATCAAGGAAAAGACTTACAGTTTTTATATCACACATTTAGAGATCCTTCAGGCAACAAAGCTAAATGAGACTTGACTTAGGTAATACAGTGATGGCAAAATTTTACAAACTATTATTTTTTCAGTGGCAGCTTTCCTCATGCTTCAGTGATTAAGAGGCAAAACTTCAGCAATACAGAAATCAAGATGCTACTCATTTTTTTATGCATCAACTTAATGTACATTTAAAGACTGCACTTCATGACTTTGTCCCAACACAACATTTTCATATTATCTTCCTTTCCTAGGAAGTAGGCTTGAATTTATATACTGAAGCTGAAGGTTAGTCGTGTGTTTCTCCTTTGAACCTGCCTCATTTGAGAAGAAACAGGCCAGTATAAAGTTGTCACACATTCTTTTTTGATGATTTTGTGGATGCAGTGGAATTTTTTCAACTGAAAGATTCCACGATATAATCCTTCTGTGAATCTGAATTTTCCATTCAGATCCTTGCATTTAAGCCAAAAGAGATTCTATTTCTTTTAGCCAGTAGTGAAGTAGCAACTTAATTTAAGAGTTACTTGTTACAGTTAGCCAAGAAGATTTCAGCTTTTTTCCCCTCTGTACACAAATTCAGCAACAGTACCCTTTCCTCCAGCTCTAACACCTCAGGGTCTCCTGTGTTTCTAGAGTAGTAGGTCTGAACATACAAAAGTTACAGCAAACACCTATCTATAAAAACATGTAGCTCCTCATCCTGGCCAACACAGCCTATAAATATATAGCTACTGTCTTGCTAGTGCACCAGACTTCACTGTTCAGTACAGCTTAGACACTAATTTTCTGTGTATTTTTCACTGTAGAGGCTGGAGATCACAACGCACCTCTCTGCCAGAGTGACTGTGAATCTGTGCAGCTTGCACTTAACAAGACACTGAAGGTTTCAAGAACACAGCTACATTCATAATGAACACTTTCCCCTGCTATCCCTACCTCAAGGAGAGCACATAAGCTCAGTTACTTTTCAGGAACTTCCATCTAAATACCCAAGAAATTAATCTGAAGAGTTCATTCACTGGACAAATCTAGACACTCTCTTGGTGAACACGCTACAAATTTTTCAGTGCCTGGGATTCATTTCAAAGACAGCTCTTCAGGAAAAGAAAGTTTAAAAATTTCTCACTAAGTTTCCATCTGTATGGGTAACCAAATTAACTTTTTTTCCTCAATAGCTTTCCATCTCCTCCAATGAAAACAGAGAAATAAACAGAGGGATTATTCACACATCACTAGCCAAAGATAAACACTGTTAGCCAAAAAGACTAGAAAGTTGTAAGAAAATAAAAAAAAAAAGAAATATTTCTCTGCTAAAGTCAAATTCTGCCTGCTACTGAGAAACAAAATGCAATTCTTGTAATTTCATGTAAGCCTAGAGATTTCCCACTCCTGTGATCATAACAACTATTCAGCCCCAGGCTATCAGCCACACTGGAAGCAAAAGCTCCCCACACATTTCTCTTCTGTTGAGCTAAACGAAACAAGGCTAAGAAGAGCTAGATGTTGCTCACCAGCTTACAGAACACTTTCCTCAAATGACTCAGCCACAGACTGGTAATCAGGTATTTCACTGACATTTAGTACAGCTGCATTAGAGATTCATGAGTACAAAAATGCTCAACCCTTGATTCTTGCAGTTTTGACTAAATAACAGACATGTATGTGCATTATTGCAGACTAGCACATCTTAACTGGCCAAAAACGCATTTCACTTAAGGCAAAGTTAAAGGGTACAAGAGTCTCCAGTAATAAAATGACCACCCAGTTAACTGAACCCACTTGAAGTTCTTTCTCAGTTATGACTAAATCTGTCTGTTGAGAACACCAGACATAATCATCTAATGAGATTACTACTGGTAGCGAGATATAGGGGTGGAGGGTTGCAAATAACCCACACCAGACTGATGCAAAGCCACATGCAGTATGTTGCTGTTTCCAAGTAAATTGTCAGTGAGGCTTAAATTTTAAGCTCCTTTTAGGCTCCTAATGCATTTAGGAAGATGAAATTGTAATGGCTTGCTTTGTCTGAAAACCCCATCAAGGTTTCCCTCATAGGGCTTAGACCATGTGCAGGTTAAAGCCGTTGCTTTACCTCCACAGTTTTATTTCGGTGATAAATTTTGCTTTGCCTAACTGACTCAGTACAGACAAATGCTACACAAAAAAAAAAACAAACAAAAAACCACCACCACCAACAACAACAACAAAAAAACCCAACAAAAAACAAGGGAAAAATCATATAATTTTTGCATAACATTTGAAAGTAAGAAATTGTGTATGAAAAAAGGACAACTGTGCCTCACTATCATTATTAAGCCTCTAAGTATGCCCAGCTTACAAGAGATGGCCTGGAAATACACTAAGATGATACAGTTTGTGGCCTTTTTTTTAACAATCCTAAAAAGCCAAGATGGTCAGTATCATACTTTTAATTTGAAATATAAAGTCCGGTTTTAAAAAAATGTTCATTTTCTTTTTTGCAATCTCACATTTTACAACAGATGTATTTTCCTAGTAACATATCTATTTTTCTATCATTTTTTAACACTAACTAATTTCATTTTTTTTCCTGTTTACAATACTTGGAGTGAGCAGGAAATCCTGTAATTTAGCTCATTCTCCCTTCTATTCAGTTTTACTTTCAGTAAAAACTCTGGCTGAGAATGTCTTTTAAAGTCCATCTTAAGCAATCCAGAGTTGTTCTTGGTTTAACTTGTGATCTGCAAATAATCTCTCAGCAAATAACTCAACCAAATAATCACTGAGATAGATCTCAGTCAGAGGTAGGCGGCACTATATAAGAGGCATAGACTCCCCGGGGATAGCAAAGTTCACTAGCAAAGAATGGTAGATGCTTTAAAGAGAGAGAGAAATGCAAAAAGAAAACTAAGATGGATAGCAGCTAAGGTAGGCTCTGATTTCAGAAATTGCTTGTTCTCTATCAAGCATCACAAAGGAAAACTGTGGACAAGCAATTGCCTTACATAGGCCATTTTAGAGGCTCGGCTTTCCTGGAGATGAGATGAACATCTGCCTGCTTGTGGGAAATGGTGAATGAATTCCTTATTTTGCTTTTGCTTTACTTTAAACTTTCTTTAACTCAACCCATGAGTTTTCTCACTTTTACTCTCCCAATTCTCTCCCCCACCCCACCAAGGGAAGAATGAGTGAGCAGCTGCATGGAGTTGAGTTGCCAGCTGAGGTTAAACCATGGCAGCAAGCCACGGGCAATTGCAGGGAAAATCTAGTCTGAAGGTGATTTATTCTTTTTCAGATACTGTGTTGACAGTGTCTGGGAGTGATATATTCCTTCATACTGTCCTACAAATAGTCCAATTTCACAGACAGCACCCCTGTACATCCCATCCAGAGCAGGTAGAGCTCACTTTGCAGGTGCCACAGTGCACATCCAGCTAGATTAGGTATCAATTAGAGAGCAATTCCAATCAGACTCAGCCCTTCAAAAGTTTTATCACATATTAGTATGGCAAAGCATTAGCTTGAGCTACTCTGTGATATTTTTTTTTTCTTAGTGAGGCAGCAGATGCACTCAAGGCGTGCAGGGGGAATAAAAACCAGAGGCACATTTCCTTTTAACAACAACAATACATGTACAAGTAGGAACATAAGTTACTCCATGAATCTGTTCTGTGCACCCAGTTCTGAAGAATCAACTGCAACTGGATTTCTGCTTTATAGAAACACTAGAGACAGCTTTGCAAATTTATTGTGAAGCAGAAAAAGACACATTCTGCAAGTAACATGTTCATGAGGCTGGGGAAGGGCCAGATCAACAAAATGTGATGTAAGCTTAATGAAATATGTGTTGTATCCAGAAAAATCCAACCTCAAAGGCAGGATACCAGTTCAAAACTCAGAGAATACATATACTTCATCTTTAGTATAATAAAGACAAATTTGCTTTGTACAAGACATCATTGGTCAATTTTGCCCACCCATTTATAAATTAAGGAATTTGTCAAGCTACTAGGTTGGATTGCTGTCTTATATAAAATGTAACAACATCTCTACCTCTGCTGTCAAACATGAGCAGCCACAATAGTCTGTTACGTGATACTGTACAAGTTCAAGAACTGCTCTAAAGCTGACACTACTGTGATGACCAGATAGCCCTGATCAGCAATCAATTCTCATTAGTTTGTGTTTATAGCCTTGTGGCAGTGAATCCTGCTCTCACAATTTTGGAAGCAACTGCAAAAATTCCCATTTTGTCTGTTTGTTTTGAGGATGATGCTTCCAGATAACATATCAAATGTTTTTTATATGCATTCCTAATTATGCCCATTCCCTTATTCTAGGTCACTGAATAGATTACAAAGATAGAGCCAATTAGAAAAAGAATATGGATATGGTCACAGTTTTGGTAATAATTTTTTATTAGTATCAATTACTTCCAACAATTTGACTTGAATGTTATGAAAATTACTTTCCCAGAGCAGGCAGTAAGCAGATGGAAAGCATCACAATAATCATATTAAAGGGCTTGGCCTTGCTCT